GACAGGATTAAGGCTTACTGTGAAAAACTTGGCTTCTATTATACTATTTTAGATGCGGGTTTTTGCGCTTTTGATTGCGTTTTAATAGGGTACGTCAAGAGAATGTACACTAAGAAAAAATTTTTCGAAAAATTTTCCCCCACGGGGGAAGTGTTATACATTTATAATAGATACATTTTGAGCCACAACAAGGCTTGGCGGGGTCTGCTAGTATAAAAATAAAAACAAAGTGTAAATATTGTAAATAACTGTAATTTAAACAGCTCCATTTATTATTTTTTCAATTTTCTTTTTAATAATTTTGATTGTATAACGAACAAATTAATTTTCAATTAAATTTACTTTGTTATAAATGATTTATAAAACTATAGAAATTATTACAGGACAATTTCAATAAATTTATGCCTTTGTAATGAATTAGATATTATGTGTATGAAAATACAGTATATTGTGAAGTTTTTAATATTAGTATTGTCTTAAAACCATAACTAAAAACAAAAAGTAATTAGAAAAGATATTTTTTCTATATCATAAATACACTAGCTACTTGTTATATTACACATATTGAGAGACAAATCAAATGAGCAATAAATCAGATAGTGTTTTACAATCAATGTTCTTATCCACCTGTTTTGTGTAATTTAAACTTCATGTCCACTTGCTTTTTTGTATGTTGTATTGTAAAAGTGTGAAATGCGATAAGTGAATTTGATTAAAATAAATTTAATCTCACGATGAACGATTATATACTGAAAAGTTCTTTTGGATTCCCTTGGTCTCTCACAATACCAATTTCTTTCACTGCCCAATGGCAACAACAAACCAAGTAGCTCGCTTCCATGGTAACTACTTACCCAACAATAATAATCAAACAGGCACGATCCTTAACTAATTAATCCTAAAGATAGAAAATCTAGAGATAGGGAAATGAGAAGAATGAATAGGATAGTGGGGTACCCAATACTTGATGAACTTCGATGTCGGCTTGTGCCTTTTTTCTGAGTAGCTCTGGGTTCTTCTTTCATGTGTTGAATATCTTTTTCTTTAATAGCCTTGACGGTCTCTCCGATTCTATCATCTGGATCTCCACTTCATGGCTCTCAGTTTTGCGCTCTTCGAATTCTGTCTCACAAGCTCAATGATCTATGTCCATGCCTTTTCGAGTCCAGTAAAAGAATGACCGTTAAAGAGTCCATTTCTACTCACTAATTTCTTCGAAGTGCATTGTCCCACTCGACCCCCTAGTGAGTGGGAAGGGGAGAGCCCCTGTTCCCAGAAGTCAGAACAAAGGAAGTTAAAAAGAAGGATTAAGAAGGGGAGAGAGTTATTACAATTATTTAATCTAGAATACATATATACAAAATATGGCATATAGCCACAATATTTCATACAATGGGAGTTTCAAGGTCAATGATTGGAATAAAGTAATATCTATTGGTCAATAGAAATTCAATGGCAACTNTAATTAACATTCACTATTCATATTGAACATATTTAAAAATTAAAATATCACAGAATTTAAAAAGTAATAGATATATTTCATTGGAATCTCAGTTACAGTATTTCATATACAATGTTGAGCATTAATACATTTTTCAAAATTTAAGGAACCTTCTTAAATTTTGGAATCTTCTTAAATTAAGAAATCTCTGTGAAATAGATATAAATTTTTTAGGGTTTGTTCTTTCTTTTCTTCAATTTTTGTACAAGTAATTTTTCTAGAGCCATCATTGGACTTTCAAGTGTTACGGATGCAATAAATGCAACCAGATATGCAAAAAGCAAAAATCCAAAATAACATACAACCTGTGAAAAAATTAATTAATCTATTAAAATATCTTAAATCTTTTAACAAATATTTCTATTTTCAGAAAATTATTTTTGATTTCATTACATTATTTCAAATAATATTAATTAGAAATAAAAAATTTACCATTGTATTAGTTTCAAAATGAAGTGGTTTCAGAAGAGAATTATAATACCATTGGATGATCATTGGATGGACAAGGTAAGCACAGTAAGTTAACCGGCTGAAAGGTATCCATATTTTCCAAGACAGAATTGTATTGACTGGACCTAATAAAACAGTTTAGTCTTTAAATTTTAATAATAATCATAAAATATAAACAGATTTGAATTAAATATAATTCATTAAACATTTCATTTTTATGTAAATTTTTATATTACACTTTGTAAGTTATTTTTTTCTTTGTATGTTATGACTTGAATGCAAGACTGATTACAAATTTAAGTCTCAAGTCATATTCTGGAAAACCTTTAGTCCAATTTCACCAACAAACAAGTAGGCAAATCACAAAATTAACAACTATTTTAAATCCAGGATTAGTGACTTTGCATTTTATCATTTTAAGACTAGACATGATTACTGCACTAATATCTACAAATATGGCAGATCTGTTCTGTTTCTAAGAACAAAATTTACTAATTCTATTTTTAAAATCTCAGGACATTCTTATCTATTAAGATGATTTATTGGTGAAACCTTCACTGCAATAATCTCAGCATTAGTCTGATCATTGGATTTACAAATACCCCATTAAGTCCATCATATCTTTCCAAACCATAATTTGTTTAGTATAATACACAGAAAATGAAAACAAATTGCTATATCTTGTAAATTTGGCAAAAATAGCCTTTTGGTATTTTTAAACTTAAATTAACAGACATCAAGATAGGCAATTCAATTGATAAATAGCTCAACAATTTTATGATAGTAATTTTTTAATGTCTCTACTGCACATTGTTTTAATGAGAAAAAATTAGTAACCTCAAGACTTATTATTGTTGTTAATGCTTCAATTATTTAAAAAATGCAAATAAATAAAAGCAACAACCTTCTGTGAACATTTTGTGTTATTTTTGTTTAGGAAATAATGATATCATTATCTATTTTCTCATCAATTTTTTTGTAGATCTTTTGTTTTTCATAAAAAATGTTTCATTAGTTATATTTTTTTGATTTTTGTTATTTTAACTAATTTAACTAATAATATCCTAGTTACTGATATAAGTATTTTTAATGTAGAGATAAAGCTCATTAAACTGCTTAACTGTATTTAGAATGAATAGCTCAAGCAAATAAATATTTTGTTCTCATAAATATTGATCTTTACTGTATTTCATCCTGTAAGTCATGAAGATAAAAAGAAAAATAAAGATTGTAATGAATCCTTGTATACTAAATACTAATAAATCAGAATCACACTGTATTTATATGTAATTTTACAGCTATAAAACATTATTTACCTATCAATCAATGATTCTAAATAAAAAATAAAATAAATAAAATCAATGTTTATTAGTATTCCATACCTCCACAACCTATAAGACAGACAAAAATAACCCATGCAACAGCAACACTCCATGTAGTACGAGCAACTGCATTGTAGACCGCACCAGTAGACATACCAATGTCAGCATGATATAAACCAAATATTACACTTAATCCAAAGAAAAGAGCAAGAAGCCAGCCAATCACCAAAAATGCCTTTGAAATTTTAATTTTAATTATTATTAAAAAAAATATTTATTCATATATTTTTAAAACTGAACTTACACTTTTCATAAATTTACGATGATTAAATGCTACAAGTAAGACATAGCCTGTTAAAATGCCAACCATGTAAGGTCCAATTCGGCAATAAGGTTTATCATAAATGATATCAAAATATTGATCCTTTCTACAAAAGTAAATAATATAAAAACAATAAATTCAAAAATTCAAAATGTATAAAAAAATAGCGATAAAAAAGTATTAGTAAAATACAAAGTTAAAGGTTTTATCAATTAATATAAATTAGAAAAATAATTAAAAAAAGAAAATATTGTTACGAGAAAAATACACTATTATTTAAAAATAACATTCCTACTTTTGATTAGTTATATCTAAGTGCTGAGTGTTCAATCAAATATTCAGTTTCTTTTTCTTAATAAAGAAGAGATTGCAACAATTTAGTTATACAGTTATTATACAGGTGCTTCTCTACATATGAATGTTCAACTAATGAACAATTTGACTGTACAGGTACATCTAAAATTTAAATTTCACATAAGTTCTTAAGTTCTCTTGGTGCTCATGGTGGTGTTGAAGTCAGTCTTTGACCAGTAATAAATAATAAATTTTTCATAAATAATTACTGTGGACTTATTCATATTGTCATTTTTTGTTTTTGCATGAATTTTGAGGTTTCACTGCTGCTCATTGGTAACTTTGGAGTAATGGTGTTTTTTGCTGTTATGCAATTTTTATACATTTTTATGATTAGTGTTTTAAAAATGCATCAAAACATAGTAGTAAATCTAGCAGTGGAGATAAATAGCAGTGTCAAACTATTACCATGGAAACTAAACTGGATATTATAAAACTAAGTATGTTAGATGGAAAAAAAACCACATTTGAAACATCTGCTAGTAAGCAGTAGTGAGCAAGTAAACAAGTATAGTGTATTCTATTAACTACATTAAAGGATCAAACACTAACAATAATTGGTTATTCTGTGTAAAAATGTACTTTTAGATTAATTTTGACTTATGACGAAACCTCTGGAACCTAACCTGTTTATAATTAGAAGAGCACCTTATACAAAATTTAGATGTATTATAATAAAATATGAATATAATCTTATTAAATAGGGTTAAAATGAGATAATGTTTCAGATATCAAGGCAGTCAGTCAGTGGTCCAAAGTGATATTTGCTTATTATACTTATGGTCAGAAATGTATCATGTGAGTGGGTTGAGGGCTGAGTTTTGATTAATGCAAAATTGCAGTGCAGTCAGATCTTGTAGAACAAATAGTCACAGTAGGAAGTTCTCTGATGTTACACGTCAGAGAACTTCCAGGTATCTTTCATAGAATTTGGCAAAGTTTGGCATCAAGAAATATATGTTATATAACAAAATTGCTGGAAAACCACTTTAAACATCTTTTGTGAGATTGTACTGGGCATTACAGCATCAATACATAATCAATAAGTATTCAGCAATAAATAAACCTATTTCTTTAACATATGTGCATTTGTGACATGTCATAGTGCCATAAAAATATCATCATTAAGCAAAATTTCATAGCTCTCTATGTTCATAATACACATTTCTGGCCATAAGTATAATAAGCAAATATCATCATTTTGAACCATTGAACCTGTTCCTGATCTGTGAAACATCTTTACACCCTGTACATTACCTGTTTTTAGTAAAGATAAGGAATTATAATCTTTTTAACTGATAAAATCAAATTATATGTTATTTGAAGCATTGTAAATGCCATTTTTTCCCTAAATACATTTTACTGAAGAAACTAATTCTAAACAATGTTTTCTGCTGCAAAAAAATTTTGTGGCAATAGTGGCACTGTAAATGGCTGTATTTTGAAGTTGAATTTATGTGCAAGCCATAATGTTTTAAACACAAAAGTGCAGTTATGTGGCTTTGGCACTTAAAACATTATGGCTTAAGTTTACATCATTTTGTTATTCCAGAGAATTTGTAACCTAGTGGGTTTTTTCTACTATTTTATTTTAAAATTGAAATGAATTTTTTCATTCTGTAGAAAAAGTGTTTTCTTTTCTCTCTCTCTTGAAAAGTTTATTTTTGGCATTTACATCATTATGGCTATGAATGCTTCATTTATTATTAAAGACGACTAATTCAGACAAACCTAAAATGTATTTAATTCAACTTTTTTATTCTTTAAATAAAAAAGTTGAATTAAAAGCTGTGAAACATATAATGATCTAATATAATAAAATATTAACAATATTTTTTTAACATAAAAAAAAGACACACTATTTAAGATTCAAACTGGAATTGAACTAAAGAATCTGGTTAAAATTGATATAATTTCCACATATATACCAACATATGCAATATATATTGCTGATACTGTATATAGAATATGGATTTCATCCAAGACAATACAGTAGAGCCTCGAAAACTTGGCCTAATGTGGACAGAAGGGTGGCCAAGTTTGTGAAAATGCCGGGTTATCGGGAATGGGGTTAAAAAAATAAGTATGAGTGTTTCCTCAGAAAATACTGTACTGTACTTGTATGTATTGTTTACTTGAGAATACAACAGAGAATAAACTGCCCAAATACCCTTAAACAAAGGAAAAGTACTTCTTTTATAAAAGCATAGAGCCTTTACTACATGAAAATGAAAATTAATGAATACACTGTACAGTAATTTACCTGATAAGACAGACTTCAAAAAAATATTTATGAGGCATAAAGCTGTCTTTATCATGAAAATTAATTAACTAAGGATTTTTTTGCCCTGCCAGGGTGTGGCCGAGTTATCCGGAGTGCCAGGTTATCGAGTGCCGAGTTTTCGAGGCTCTACTGTACTATCATATTTTTGTGCATATAATCCACAGGTTATATGTTTAAAATTTACTTTGAAAAGTAAGTTATCTGATGGAATAAACTATATGACATTTTTAAATTCAATTATAAACTCAGAGAGCTTTTCTTTTGTCTAAAGCCACTTATAGTAGTGCTGAACCTTTAGTTCTTGGTTACCCATTTAAAGGACTGTGTCAAAAACAAACAAAATTTTAAAAATTAATTAAATTATATGAAATGTTTAAAAAGTGGTAAAAAAAAAGATTAGTAATCAAATGTTATTTTTAATGAATTATCATTTTCAAGTTTTAAAAGATCAAGTTTGCAAACAAAAATGTTTAATTAGGTAAAATTGATAATTAGAGAAATATATATTTTTAGACTTGCTGAATTATTATAAGTTTAAAATAAGATGTTTCATAAAAGTATATGTCTTCCAAATGGTGGAAAAAGCAGTTTGTTTCTATTTATTATTGTTACAGATGTTTGGAAGAAACTAACTATGGAGAACTAACTGTTATTTATTCATTAAACTGCACATTTATCTTAACACACTGGCTTTCATAGAAAACAGCACAAAAAATGAAGATGAGTAGGGTCATCAAAACAACTTCTAAACTTATGTTTAACAATTATTTATTAACAAATCCTGCAGTAACATAACCCAGAAACAAAAACCTTTGTATAACTTATCTCACCATATAGCCCATATCTTTGGAGCAGCGACTGAAAGAATGACCTTTTTGCAGTTTATAAGTTACCATCTCAAACATTAAAACATTTGTTAATTAATACACTTTGTTATAGATGTAATTATTAAACTAAGGGAAATGAAAAAACAAAATATTAAGAAGAAACCTCCTAAATTTCATGTGTCTAGAAACAAATGCCTATCAAATAAAATATTTTTCTCATATTGCTTCATTTCTATTTATCAATTAATAATAATAAATGTCAAAATAAATGCAGAAAAAGTTAAATAAAAATTAATTTTGAAGTTCATAATATCCAATGGTACAAAGTGAAAAGTTGATTGCTCAGCTTTTATTCACTATTGAGAACTCTAAACATAGTTCAGATTAGTGCCAAAAATCCAGTATTCACTTTAAAAGATTGTGTGTACATGAAAAATGAAATAAGCAAAATTATTTTAAAAAATAATTAAATTATATAAAATCCTTTTTTACCCTGTTTTAATTGATTTTTCCTTTTAATGAATTGTTGTTTTCAATTTTTTAAATTTTGCAAACTGAAAAAAATTACCATTATTTTAAGTTAGGCTTAATATTTTCTTTGTCCTATTGTTCTAACTTTTCTAGAATTTTCCTCTCTAATCCTTTTTCCCTTGGGTGGGATTACCAATCCTAAGAAACGATGAAGAGAACAAATAAGAAACGAGGCTTGAGGGGCCAGCAGAACTGGGAAAAAGCAAGTTTGGACTCAGATTCCAATGAGTAAAAACGAAAAAGGGTAGTGCTCTGGATCGGAGATCGGATGATTGGAGATTATGTGGAGCTATTGGAATCAGAAACGAATACTTCCCAGAAAGGAACTTTGAAAGGAATATTGTGAGAATACCATACGAAAAGGTGTACAGGAATGATGATAAGATGATGATCCAAGAAAGACCCCAGGACAGTAACCCACCCAAGATTACGAAGCCAAGGAATCCTGGGTATTTCTATCTTTCCCTCACTGTCCTTAAACATTTACTTTTCCTTTCCTTCTTTAGTTATAAATAGAATAAGTAATAGATTTAAGTCACCCCACGCATATTTGTCGTGTTCGTTAGACCTGTTGTTCGGGAGGAGAAATCCAATGCCTGTGTGTACATAAATCATTGTTTTGTACATTGGAATCATCATATCAAGAATCTGTTCGATGCAAAAATAAAATACTTTGTGTTAATCTTATTAATGTGTATTTTCTGTATTATTCCATTCTTGGGGTCACATACTTGTCACATCGAACATCACAAGAGAAAGATTTAATAATTCAGTGATTCTAAAAATATATGTTTAAAGTAAGACCTTTCATTGTCAAAGCAATTTATGCTGTTATTAATTTACAATCAAAAAACTATATGGCTTCCAAAAAAAGAAAAGCAGTTTGTTTTTTTATTTATTATTTGTCAATAAATCCTTTAATCCATTATAATAGTATAAATTTATTAAATTTGTCCCTTAAAAAATTTCCAAAGTTTTATAAAGTCTTTGTAAACTGAAAGTAAATTTAATTAAAAATTGATTTGATTGGAAAGCAAAATTATTGAAATAAAAATTGAGAAATTATAAATTGTTGTTTAAATTACAGTTATTTATAATTTTTTACACTTAACTGTAGAAATTTTGCACTCTTTAAATTACATGCTAACTTTTTATATAAAAAATATTTTAAGTACAAATTTTGAAATTAAATGTTAATAGTCTATATGAAGAACTATTAAAAAAATGCAACATAGAGGAGAGTATCAAAATCCAGTCCTGAGGAGACTGATATTATATAATACTTGGGGCTGAGCAAATCAACATATTCAAATTATAAAAAAGCTTGAAATTTTAAAAATGATATGTTAGACAAAATAAATTTGAGAAAATGCCTAATGATCTAATATCAATATCATTTTTTCAAATATTTATCTTTCCTTGTCCTTCACAGTCCCCACAGTGGTTAAGTTGTGAACTGGCTTGCTTTTTTCCAGGTTTTTCTTCACTGTCTATAACACCTGCCTATGGCCAGTTCACAGGAACCCCTTTGGCAAATTGTCCATGTATTGCATTGTTTTATCTAATCAATCCAATTCTTATCCTTCACAGCTACCATTCACATCCTCAGTTTGAGAACAGGTATTAATGAACTAATCTATACTAATATTATAAAGAGGTAATGTTTGTATGTATGTTAGTTTGTATGCAGCAGGTAATCTCCGAAACTACTCATCCAATTTCAAAAATTCTTTTCACCAATATTTAGAATGGAACTTCAGGGTGGACATAGGCTGTATATTATTCTGTTAAACATGGGAGATGGACAGTTCTTTACAGTAAGCCTTACATGGAAGGCTTACCGTAAAGAACTCTGCTTCTATTTATACTATTTTAGATGCGGTTTTTTGCGCTTTTGATTGCGTTTTAATAGAGTACGTCAAGAGAATGTACACTAAGAAGGGATTTTTCGATATTCCCCCGCGGGGGAGAGAGATAGGATTAAGAATTACTGTGAAGAACTTGGCTTCTATTATACTATTTTAGATGCAGGTTTTTGCGTTTTTGATTGCATTTTAATAGGGTACGTCAAGAGAATGTACACTAAGAAAAAATTTTTCGAAAAATTTTCCCCCACGGGGGAAGTGTTATACATTTATAATAGATACATTTTGAGCCACAACAAGGCTTGGCGGGGTCTGCTAGTATAAAAATAAAAACAAAGTGTAAATATTGTAAATAACTGTAATTTAAACAGCTCCATTTATTATTTTTTCAATTTTCTTTTTAATAATTTTGATTGTATAACGAACAAATTAATTTTCAATTAAATTTACTTTGTTATAAATGATTTATAAAACTATAGAAATTATTACAGGACAATTTCAATAAATTTATGCCTTTGTAATGAATTAGATATTATGTGTATGAAAATACAGTATATTGTGAAGTTTTTAATATTAGTATTGTCTTAAAACCATAACTAAAAACAAAAAGTAATTAGAAAAGATATTTTTTCTATATCATAAATACACTAGCTACTTGTTATATTACACATATTGAGAGACAAATCAAATGAGCAATAAATCAGATAGTGTTTTACAATCAATGTTCTTATCCACCTGTTTTGTGTAATTTAAACTTCATGTCCACTTGCTTTTTTGTATGTTGTATTGTAAAAGTGTGAAATGCGATAAGTGAATTTGATTAAAATAAATTTAATCTCACGATGAACGATTATATACTGAAAAGTTCTTTTGGATTCCCTTGGTCTCTCACAATACCAATTTCTTTCACTGCCCAATGGCAACAACAAACCAAGTAGCTCGCTTCCATGGTAACTACTTACCCAACAATAATAATCAAACAGACGCGATCCTTAACTAATTAATCCTAAAGATAGAAAATCTAGAGATAGGGAAATGAGAAGAATGAATAGGATAGTGGGGTACCCAATACTTGATGAACTTCGATGTCGGCTTGTGCCTTTTTTCTGAGTAGCTCTGGGTTCTTCTTTCATGTGTTGAATATCTTTTTCTTTAATAGCCTTGACGGTCTCTCCGATTCTATCATCTGGATCTCCACTTCATGGCTCTCAGTTTTGCGCTCTTCGAATTCTGTCTCACAAGCTCAATGATCTATGTCCATGCCTTTTCGAGTCCAGTAAAAGAATGACTGTTAAAGAGTCCATTTCTACTCACTAATTTCTTCGAAGTGCATTGTCCCACTCGACCCCCTAGTGAGTGGGAAGGGGAGAGCCCCTGTTCCCAGAAGTCAGAACAAAGGAAGTTAAAAAGAAGGATTAAGAAGGGGAGAGAGTTATTACAATTATTTAATCTAGAATACATATATACAAAATATGGCATATAGCCACAATATTTCATACAATGGGAGTTTCAAGGTCAATGATTGGAATAAAGTAATATCTATTGGTCAATAGAAATTCAATGACAACTGATTTTTAAAAAATTTTTGGCTGAAGCATTTTTATATTTGGAAGACCAAAAGAGCATGATATATCTAAATGAGTGACATAACAAAGGGCTACTCTATTACAGTTCAAATTTCATATATATTAATTTTTAATTTATGAGAAACTTATTTAAAACCCCAAAAAATTAAATACCATATTATATTACCAGAATGATTACAATATGGCAAACTATAATTATATACAAAATATTTTTAATGTTATATATTAGAATAAAAAAAATTCAATATAACATTGTCTACAATATAAGTTATATTATAGACAATGATATACATTCACTTACTTGGCCTGCATGTCCATTACTTGATCTACTTTCAAATCTTGATTGAATGTTAAAACTGAACTCAGATCATACTCAATACTTAATACTCCTGCCACTATCCATGATATTAATATTACAATTCCTACCACTATAGTTCCTACAATAGGTAACCTGAAAATAATAATTAAAATTAATAGAATATGTCTTTTGAATGAATTCATAGTAAAAACAACAAAAATACTAACTTCCATAACAGCAATAAAAATATTGGACTAATGATATAAAATTGCATATCATTTGCTAAGTACCATGTCCATCCCATGCACTAATCAAAAGGAAAACATTGTTAATTTCATAAAAGTTCATTTTGATATCATATTTATTTATATATATTTATAATAATAAAACTTACCATATCATTTGAATCTTCAAAATTCAATATGTAAAGTATATTCCACCACCAGTTTTTTTTACAGTTTCCATTATCTGTTTCATTTGGCCAAGATGGTCCAGAACCTAAATGTAGCCATAGAGTTGAGTAAAATCCCAACAACATTGCAAACACAGGTGTTAATCTGTAAAATGCTTAACTTTAGTTTTAAAATATATAGCCTATATATATATATATATATATAAACAACAACTTTTGTAAAATTGTATCTTGCCTCCAAATTCGGTGAACATAATAATAAATCCAATTCACATTGGTTTGTTTTTCAAAGTGTTCTTTAAGAAACAAATATGACAGAAGAAATCCACTAAAAATAAAAAAAAATTTAATTTAACATTTATAAATTTAATAATTATTATATTTTAAAGTAAAAGATTCATTTTATCTTTCTAAAAAGAATAACAATTCAACAATAGCATATTTTTGTGAGCAAAAATGTTTTATTAAATCTTAATGTTTTCAGAATATTACACTATCTTCAATATTTTTTAGTTTGAATGCAAACTATATATATACTGTATATACAAATGAATATCTTCAAAAAATTTTTCTTAGAAATTTCTAAACATATTGGTTTGCATTTTAGTTTGTACAGTACATACTCACACCTATTGAATGTTGTTCTTGCCAGCCATAATGAGCATTATGTTACCTGAATATAGGCTACATTTCTTGTGAAGCTTTTTTATGAATAGAACAATAATGCTGTGGCTGCATTTTAGGAATTTTACTGTCATAAGAATTTATACCAAGGACCTTTGACTCCATGAGATCTCAGGAGAATGATCACTTGATTCAAGAAAACTAGATATCTTAGAATTCAACCTAATCAAAGATACAAACCTATTACTTCACAAGTTTTAGATGTTACCTCAGTTGTTGTTAAACTGTCAATCAATAATGTTTCAGACTCCAGCAGTACATGTGCAGTGTCATGGCAGTCAGGTATATCCTATGGGACAATGAGGAAGATGATGAGAAAGGTGTAGTACAGGGGTTAACTCTAACCAGATTGCAAGTTGTTGACCTTTTTTTTTCAGGCGTTAGAATTTTTCACCGATCTATTCTGGCTTGAGTAGCTAATATTGAAAGATTAATCGCAGGCCACATAAATCCATTACATGGGCCACATCCGGCCCGTGGGCCGTATCTTGACCATGCCTGGTGTAGTAGGATTCATAAAAGATTTGTCACAAGAAATTGCTTGCTGTTGAAACGGTAACTCAACTGAACTTTGCATTGACTTTCTTTGCCTAAATGTAAGTGGATGTGTCATGACAATGAAAGATCCTGTGGAGTGACAAGATACATTTTACTTCAATGGAACAGTGAATAATCATAAATGTCACATTTGAGCCAGATAAAACCCTCATTGTTTCCAGTAGATTTTACTGAACTTGTCTTTCATGGATTCACAGTCACATTTATACATTTATTCTGAAATAATTCTTATTCAAAGAAACTAGTCCCAATGGCCTGTGATTGCCCAGAGATATTGAGAGATTTCTTCACACTTTTATTGTACCCCAACTGCAATAATGACAATGCCTTGAGTCAACAATTTCAATGCCAGATGGAGTGTTGTACCTTACGTCTGTTCTTGCCCCCCCTTTGCCACGTGGTGGGTCTAACTCGGTGGAGAGGAGTTATGTAATTCAGGGGTGTGTGACCGAGGGGTGAGTGTTTTATGGATGGGGTGTGTCTCAGGGAGAGGGGTGAAGGGAAGTGGAGAGTGGAGAAAACGGCAGATGAGTAAGGACAGTGGAGTGAAGTGCGGAAATGAAGATATAGAGCCTGTGTAAGCAAGTCCGTAGAGATTTTTAGAACTTTGGAACTTTTTCCTACCCGGAGTGGAAGAGAAGAAAAGATCGTCGAAGCCCCATTTATGTTGGTATGTTTCCATGTATTCTTGTTACGTCAGCTTGAGCAATTTATTGTCAGGAGATTTTTGTTATCAATTCGCGATATACTAGATTGTCGGACTCTGTATTCTTGTGTCTCATCTTTATCTTGGGAGTACTGTATCCTCCCAAGTATATTAAAGAAATATTGTTATAGAATTCAATGGTTGTCTTGTCTAGTCCCTATTGAGTCCAGTGGATTCCCCTTAAGTGTTTGTTCCACCAAGCACGCTTGTTATAAATTTATCCCCTGGTTGAGCACTTATATTTTATCGTGTTGATTCATTCACACGATATTTTGTACCTTCACAGTGTCTTCACATATCAGATGCTGTATACAGCAGTTTCTGCAATAAAATTTCACCAATAATAAAGTGATTAATTGTGCATTTCCTACTACCTGACACCGTATTCTCTGGTTCTTAATCTGTATGATTTATCAAGAACATGTTGCAAATTAAATTTGTTAACTTTGAAAACAATATTTGCATGTGAGAAACATTATAGAAACTCAATCATGGTTGGTGTTAAGCACACCTATCATTGCCTTCAGGTTTTACACCTTCAGAACGGGGACCACATTGAGCAGCATCCATTGCATTACTAAGAAGCACTTGAGTGTCTTGAACAAATAAAATGTTTGTTGCTTGCAGTACCAAAAGTATCATAATAGTGAGTGTGATAGCAGGTGACACCACCATCAAGGAAGCATTGAGGTTGGCAACACAAAAAGTAGAAAAAAGATTCTCATTCTTACGTATTCTTGATATAGGTGAACTACTTAACAAAACTCATCAATACATGTGCAAATTTCAATTTGTATGAATGCAAGAATTTCTTCATATGTCAATTTTCAGTCAGTTGTACATGTATAATGGAACATTGATGAAATAAATATTGTTATTGTTAAACAAAAAATTTGTGTGGAATCCTTTCCCTAAGAGATTTAGTATTGTTTCTTTTATGGAAAGGTTTCCTATATGTCCTGAAATGTTACCATACTAAATTTGATTGAATTTGAATTGCTTAATAGCTCTCCGAACAGCATTGAATAGGGTACTTTAATTACAATCAACCAATATTTTGATTCAGTTATTTGTATTAGATTCAGTTAATATTTCACTTATTATTTTAGATTAACATTTGATTCAGTTAATGTTTCATTATAAATAGTAATATTATGGAATCAATAAGATTAATTAGATTAATAGTTAAATGTTCATTTTTCTAAAGGATTTATTACATAAACTGAAAAAAATATACATATTACCTTATCAGAAAAAAAGTATCTACAGAAAATGTTGCTTGACTTATTGTTTGAAAGGAAAAACTATTAATATCTTCTAAAACATCTACTATATTACCTAGAAAATAAATGATTATAAACAAATGTTTAAGAATTTCAATTATTCTAATATTAAAAATTATAACATACCTACAGACATGACAGCATAAATATATGTGTGACCAAGAATAATCCAACTCATGCTGAAAAACCGAATTCNAAAATGTGTTAAAATATGAAAATAATCGCACAAATGTATTTATATTTTAGAAAATACAAGGGAAACTGCGCTTCCACAGCTTCCATGGATGGCAAGCCACTGAAAATTTGTAAAGCCTACAACTGTTAAAAAGAGATGGACTATTTCAGTGGCATAATGAGCATTTTACAAACTCGTTAGTAATATATTTTATATACTCTTTTACTTCTGCATTGTACCTGCACTCATTTACAAGGAAGTTTTAATTTAATCTTATGTTTTATTTTTTGAATATGCATTCAATTTTATTTTCATTCCATCTAGCCTGATGATGTCTGTTTAAAGCAAAGAAAAACAGAGAAATTTTATTAAAATATATCTGTTTTTGCTAATTATAGGGTTAGTAGTACATTAGACCAGTATAATAATAGTGATTATGTCAAATATTCATGAGAGTGGGTGATCTTGTGTTTAAGTAGTGGTTGTTTTGAATTCAAATCTTGACTTAAAAATATTAAAAAATTCTTGATTTTTGAGAAAAAGATAGATTATGTTTTTCCATTACCAAATGCTTTATTTTTGCATACTGTTTAGTAATTTACTCATTTATTTTTATTCTCCTAATGCTCCATTTTAATTACATTCTCATTCAATTTATGGTACACTTTCATTATACTTTTTGTGAAGTTCCCAATAGCATAAACAAACATTGACCACAAATTAAAGAAAATTGAAAATATTCTATCCTATTTACCTAGGAGTTGGAGATGTTGCATTTGTATTAAAACTTACACTGACTTGTAAATATGAAATCAAATATATGTCATACTCCTTGCAGTTTTCTGTTTTCAGCATGTGTGGCTGTCAACCATAATATTATATTTGTATAGTTATTATTTTAAGTTAGGCTTAATATTTTCTTTGTCCTATTGTTCTAACTTTTCTAGAATTTTCCTCTCTAATCCTTTTTCCCTTGGGTGGGATTACCAATCCTAAGAAACGATGAAGAGAACAAATAAGAAACGAGGCTTGAGGGGCCAGCAGAACTGGGAAAAAGCAAGTTTGGACTCAGATTCCAATGAGTAAAAACGAAAAAGGGTAGTGCTCTGGATCGGAGATCGGATGATTGGAGATTATGTGGAGCTATTGGAATCAGAAACGAATACTTCCCAGAAAGGAACTTTGAAAGGAATATTGTGAGAATACCATACGAAAAGGTGTACAGGAATGATGATAAGATGATGATCCAAGAAAGACCCCAGGACAGTAACCCACCCAAGATTACGAAGCCAAGGAATCCTGGGTATTTCTATCTTTCCCTCACTGTCCTTAAACATTTACTTTTCCTTTCCTTCTTTAGTTATAAATAGAATAAGTAATAGATTTAAGTCACCCCACGCATATTTGTCGTGTTCGTTAGACCTGTTGTTCGGGAGGAGAAATCCAATGCCTGTGTGTACATAAATCATTGTTTTGTACATTGGAATCATCATATCAAGAATCTGTTCGATGCAAAAATAAAATACTTTGTGTTAATCTTATTAATGTGTATTTTCTGTATTATTCCATTCTTGGGGTCACATACTTGTCACATCGAACATCACAAGAGAAAGATTTAATAATTCAGTGATTCTAAAAATATATGTTTAAAGTAAGACCTTTCATTGTCAAAGCAATTTATGCTGTTATTAATTTACAATCAAAAAACTATATGGCTTCCAAAAAAAGAAAAGCAGTTTGTTTTTTTATTTATTATTTGTCAATAAATCCTTTAATCCATTATAATAGTATAAATTTATTAAATTTGTCCCTTAAAAAATTTCCAAAGTTTTATAAAGTCTTTGTGTAAACTGAAAGTAAATTTAATTAAAAATTGATTTGATTGGAAAGCAAAATTATTGAAATAAAAATTGAGAAATTATAAATTGTTGTTTAAATTACAGTTATTTATAATTTTTTACACTTAACTGTAGAAATTTTGCACTCTTTAAATTACATGCTAACTTTTTATATAAAAAATATTTTAAGTACAAATTTTGAAATTAAATGTTAATAGTCTATATGAAGAACTATTAAAAAAATGCAACATAGAGGAGAGTATCAAAATCCAGTCCTGAGGAGACTGATATTATATAATACTTGGGGCTGAGCCAATCAACATATTCAAATTATAAAAAAGCTTGAAATTTTAAAAATGATATGTTAGACAAAATAAATTTGAGAAAATGCCTAATGATCTAATATCAATATCATTTTTTCAAATATTTATCTTTCCTTGTCCTTCACAGTCCCCACAGTGGTTAAGTTGTGAACTGGCTTGCTTTTTTCCAGGTTTTTCTTCACTGTCTATAACACCTGCCTATGGCCAGTTCACAGGAACCCCTTTGGCAAATTGTCCATGTATTGCATTGTTTTATCTAATCAATCCAATTCTTATCCTTCACAGCTACCATTCACATCCTCAGTTTGAGAACAGGTATTAATGAACTAATCTATACTAATATTATAAAGAGGTAATGTTTGTATGTATGTTAGTTTGTATGCAGCAGGTAATCTCCGAAACTACTCATCCAATTTCAAAAATTCTTTTCACCAATATTTAGAATGGAACTTCAGGGTGGACATAGGCTGTATATTATTCTGTTAAACATGGGAGATGGACAGTTCTTTACAGTAAGCCTTACATGGAAGGCTTACCGTAAAGAACTCTGCTTCTATTTATACTATTTTAGATGCGGTTTTTTGCGCTTTTGATTGCGTTTTAATAGAGTACGTCAAGAGAATGTACACTAAGAAGGGATTTTTCGATATTCCCCCGCGGGGGAGAGAGATAGGATTAAGAATTACTGTGAAGAACTTGGCTTCTATTATACTATTTTAGATGCAGGTTTTTGCGTTTTTGATTGCATTTTAATAGGGTACGTCAAGAGAATGTACACTAAGAAAAAATTTTTCGAAAAATTTTCCCCCACGGGGGAAGTGTTATACATTTATAATAGATACATTTTGAGCCACAACAAGGCTTGGCGGGGTCTGCTAGTATAAAAATAAAAACAAAGTGTAAATATTGTAAATAACTGTAATTTAAACAGCTCCATTTATTATTTTTTCAATTTTCTTTTTAATAATTTTGATTGTATAACGAACAAATTAATTTTCAATTAAATTTACTTTGTTATAAATGATTTATAAAACTATAGAAATTATTACAGGACAATTTCAATAAATTTATGCCTTTGTAATGAATTAGATATTATGTGTATGAAAATACAGTATATTGTGAAGTTTTTAATATTAGTATTGTCTTAAAACCATAACTAAAAACAAAAAGTAATTAGAAAAGATATTTTTTCTATATCATAAATACACTAGCTACTTGTTATATTACACATATTGAGAGACAAATCAAATGAGCAATAAATCAGATAGTGTTTTACAATCAATGTTCTTATCCACCTGTTTTGTGTAATTTAAACTTCATGTCCACTTGCTTTTTTGTATGTTGTATTGTAAAAGTGTGAAATGCGATAAGTGAATTTGATTAAAATAAATTTAATCTCACGATGAACGATTATATACTGAAAAGTTCTTTTGGATTCCCTTGGTCTCTCACAATACCAATTTCTTTCACTGCCCAATGGCAACAACAAACCAAGTAGCTCGCTTCCATGGTAACTACTTACCCAACAATAATAATCAAACAGACACGATCCTTAACTAATTAATCCTAAAGATAGAAAATCTAGAGATAGGGAAATGAGAAGAATGAATAGGATAGTGGGGTACCCAATACTTGATGAACTTCGATGTCGGCTTGTGCCTTTTTTCTGAGTAGCTCTGGGTTCTTCTTTCATGTGTTGAATATCTTTTTCTTTAATAGCCTTGACGGTCTCTCCGATTCTATCATCTGGATCTCCACTTCATGGCTCTCAGTTTTGCGCTCTTCGAATTCTGTCTCACAAGCTCAATGATCTATGTCCATGCCTTTTCGAGTCCAGTAAAAGAATGACTGTTAAAGAGTCCATTTCTACTCACTAATTTCTTCGAAGTGCATTGTCCCACTCGACCCCCTAGTGAGTGGGAAGGGGAGAGCCCCTGTTCCCAGAAGTCAGAACAAAGGAAGTTAAAAAGAAGGATTAAGAAGGGGAGAGAGTTATTACAATTATTTAATCTAGAATACATATATACAAAATATGGCATATAGCCACAATATTTCATACAATGGGAGTTTCAAGGTCAATGATTGGAATAAAGTAATATCTATTGGTCAATAGAAATTCAATGACAACTGATTTTTAAAAAATTTTTGGCTGAAGCATTTTTATATTTGGAAGACCAAAAGAGCATGATATATCTAAATGAGTGACATAACAAAGGGCTACTCTATTACAGTTCAAATTTCATATATATTAATTTTTAATTTATGAGAAACTTATTTAAAACCCCAAAAAATTAAATACCATATTATATTACCAGAATGATTACAATATGGCAAACTATAATTATATACAAAATATTTTTAATGTTATATATTAGAATAAAAAAAATTCAATATAACATTGTCTACAATATAAGTTATATTATAGACAATGATATACATTCACTTACTTGGCCTGCATGTCCATTACTTGATCTACTTTCAAATCTTGATTGAATGTTAAAACTGAACTCAGATCATACTCAATACTTAATACTCCTGCCACTATCCATGATATTAATATTACAATTCCTACCACTATAGTTCCTACAATAGGTAACCTGAAAATAATAATTAAAATTAATAGAATATGTCTTTTGAATGAATTCATAGTAAAAACAACAAAAATACTAACTTCCATAACAGCAATAAAAATATTGGACTAATGATATAAAATTGCATATCATTTGCTAAGTACCATGTCCATCCCATGCACTAATCAAAAGGAAAACATTGTTAATTTCATAAAAGTTCATTTTGATATCATATTTATTTATATATATTTATAATAATAAAACTTACCATATCATTTGAATCTTCAAAATTCAATATGTAAAGTATATTCCACCACCAGTTTTTTTTACAGTTTCCATTATCTGTTTCATTTGGCCAAGATGGTCCAGAACCTAAATGTAGCCATAGAGTTGAGTAAAATCCCAACAACATTGCAAACACAGGTGTTAATCTGTAAAATGCTTAACTTTAGTTTTAAAATATATAGCCTATATATATATATATATATATAAACAACAACTTTTGTAAAATTGTATCTTGCCTCCAAATTCGGTGAACATAATAATAAATCCAATTCACATTGGTTTGTTTTTCAAAGTGTTCTTTAAGAAACAAATATGACAGAAGAAATCCACTAAAAATAAAAAAAAATTTAATTTAACATTTATAAATTTAATAATTATTATATTTTAAAGTAAAAGATTCATTTTATCTTTCTAAAAAGAATAACAATTCAACAATAGCATATTTTTGTGAGCAAAAATGTTTTATTAAATCTTAATGTTTTCAGAATATTACACTATCTTCAATATTTTTTAGTTTGAATGCAAACTATATATATACTGTATATACAAATGAATATCTTCAAAAAATTTTTCTTAGAAATTTCTAAACATATTGGTTTGCATTTTAGTTTGTACAGTACATACTCACACCTATTGAATGTTGTTCTTGCCAGCCATAATGAGCATTATGTTACCTGAATATAGGCTACATTTCTTGTGAAGCTTTTTTATGAATAGAACAATAATGCTGTGGCTGCATTTTAGGAATTTTACTGTCATAAGAATTTATACCAAGGACCTTTGACTCCATGAGATCTCAGGAGAATGATCACTTGATTCAAGAAAACTAGATATCTTAGGATTCAACCTAATCAAAGATACAAACCTATTACTTCACAAGTTTTAGATGTACCTCAGCTGTTGTTGAACTGTCAATCAATAATGTTTCAGACTCCAGCAGTACATGTGCAGTGTCATGGCAGTCAGGTATATCCTATGGGACAATGAGGAAGATGATGAGAAAGGTGTAGTACAGGGGTTAACTCTAACCAGATTGCAAGTTGTTGACCTTTTTTTTTCAGGCGTTAGAATTTTTCACCGATCTATTCTGGCTTGAGTAGCTAATATTGAAAGATTAATCGCAGGCCACATAAATCCATTACATGGGCCACATCCGGCCCGTGGGCCGTATCTTGACCATGCCTGGTGTAGTAGGATTCATAAAAGATTTGTCACAAGAAATTGCTTGCTGTTGAAACGGAAACTCAACTGAACTTTGCATTGACTTTCTTTGCCTAAATGTAAGTGGATGTGTCATGACAATGAAAGATCCTGTGGAGTGACAAGATACATTTTACTTCAATGGAACAGTGAATAATCATAAATGTCACATTTGAGCCAGATAAAACCCTCATTGTTTCCAGTAGATTTTACTGAACTTGTCTTTCATGGATTCACAGTCACATTTATACATTTATTCTGAAATAATTCTTATTCAAAGAAACTAGTCCCAATGGCCTGTGATTGCCCAGAGATATTGAGAGATTTCTTCACACTTTTATTGTACCCCAACTGCAATAATGACAATGCCTTGAGTCAACAATTTTAATGCCAGATGGAGTGTCTTCACATATCAGATGCTGTGTACAGCAGTTTCTGCAACAAAATTTCACCAATAATAAAGTGATTAATTGTGCATTTCCTACTACCTGACACCGTATTCTCTGGTTCTTAATCTGTATGATTTATCAAGAACATGTTGCAAATTAAATTTGTTAACTTTGAAAACAATATTTGCATGTGAGAAGCATTATAGAAACTCAATCATGGTTGGTGTTAAGCACACTGATCATTGCCTTCAGGTTTTACACCTTCAGAACGGGGACCACATTGTGCAGTATCCATTGCATTACTAAGAAGCACTTGAGTGTCTTGAACAAATAAAATGTTTGTTGCTTGCAGTACCAAAAGTATCATAATAGTGAGTGTGATAGCAGGTGACACCACCATCAAGGAAGCATTGAGGTTGGCAACACAAAAAGTAGAAAAAAGATTCTCATTCTTACGTATTCTTGATATAGGTGAACTACCTAACAAAACTCATCAATACATGTGCAAATTTCAATTTGTATGAATGCAAGAATTTCTTCATATGTCAATTTTCAGTCAGTTGTACATGTATAATGGAACATTGATGAAATAAATATTGTTATTGTTAAACAAAAAATTTGTGTGGAATCCTTTCCCTAAGAGATTTAGTATTGTTTCTTTTATGGAAAGGTTTCCTATATGTCCTGAAATGTTACCATACTAAATTTGATTGAATTTGAATTGCTTAATAGCTCTCCGGACAGCATTGAATAGGGTACTTTAATTACAATCAACCAATATTTTGATTCAGTTATTTGTATTAGATTCAGTTAATATTTCACTTATTATTTTAGATTAACATTTGATTCAGTTAATGTTTCATTATAAATAGTAATATTATGGAATCGATAAGATTAATTAGATTAATAGTTAAATGTTCATTTTTCTAAAGGATTTATTACATAAACTGAAAAAAATATATATATTACCTTATCAGAAAAAAAGTATCTACAGAAAATGTTGCTTGACTTATTGTTTGAAAGGAAAAACTATTAATATCTTCTAAAACATCTACTATATTACCTAAAAAATAAATGATTATAAAAAATGTTTAAGAATTTCAATTGTTCTAATATTAAAAATTATAACATACCTACAGACATGACAGCATAAATATATGTGTGACCAAGAATAATCCAACTCATGCTGAAAAACCGAATTCCATGAAGACAATTTAATTGTGCTCCAGTATTTCCAATATTAAATACTTTTGCACCATTAGTATACACAGAAAAACATAATATAAATTGAATAAAAACTGTTTAAAAAATATAACAGTTTAGATTTGTGTAAAAATATAAATTAAAAGCAAAATAAAAATTTTACCATACATGACTCTTGGGGTTCAGAATATTTCTCTTGTATTGAAAGTGGTTCATTATCATTGGTAACATTATCATCTTTACCTATAGCAATTGCAGATGCACTTTCAGTTCCATATTTTGTGAAATTTGTATTTGAAGAAATATTGCCTTCAATATCTGAGTTTCCATTTTCAGAATCAGCTTTAATGTCATTTAGATATGTTTTTAAGATATCATATAAAGTTCCCAAGGAAATAAAAAAAGCAAAAATCACTAGTATACACCTATTATAATATATAAATCTTATATTAAAACATTATTAAATAAATTTTAATTTCTCTTTTATAAACAATATACTTACAAATACACAATATGGCTTGGTTCCCAATGCCTTTCATTACTCTGGCAGGTTATTTCAGTAACATTGGCATAATTATTTATTTTTTTGACAACTGGGATATAATCTTTAACATAAAAACAAAGTATTAGTGATTAAGTAATATTATATTGTAATCTGTTCATATTATCTAATCAAAATTATTTCTACTATTGAAATTTTAATCTTATTATCAAGGATGAATACCAAACAGATAAATAATGTTAATTATATACAAAGGTTTAAAATTTAAATTAGACCTAATGTTAATCTTAGATATAAGATTCTAAATTTAAAAATCTTAAATACTAATTCTAACAATAGTTTATTTTATAGTAGCATTATTATTATTTTATGTAAAAATATTAATTAATTTAATATAAGTTAGAAAATTAGTCATGATTAATTTTTCTTATCACTGAATATGCATAGATGAGGTACTGTAGGCCTGCATATATGAGATGATAAATCATATGTTTGATCAGAAATGTTTGTTTTATTAAAAATATTGGCTACGTGAAGCAGGCAATTGTTTTATTTACTTATATATATATAAGGTATCTCATACATATATATATATGTATGAGATACCTTGAATGCAAAATAAAATAATTTTTAAAGAACTACTTAGTTTTTTAAAAACTGCTTAATTTACTAATAAAAAAAAACAAATAATATCATTCCTATTAATTTATTCTGTTATTCATGTATTTTTACATATACAGTATTTTTTTAATTCTTCAAATCTATCTTTAGTATACCTCAAGGTTTTTCCATTAGAAATAGATCATGGGATTAAATATTTAAAGATGTTAGAAAATCTATCTCAATACATATATTTTTTTTTCCTTTGACATTTTTTAACTTAATGATAAATAAAAATGCATTTACTTTATTTATATCATAAAATATATTTAGAAAATATTTGTTTCTGTACTAAAATTAAAATTTTTAAACTAAAACTGTTTAAAGACTGGTAAAAATAAAAAAAACTTACTATTTAAAACTATAAAATACATCCATTAAATATATNTAAACAAATGTTTAAGAATTTCAATTATTCTAATATTAAAAATTATAACATACCTACAGACATGACAGCATAAATATATGTGTGACCAAGAATAATCCAACTCATGCTGAAAAACCGAATTCCATGAAGACAATTTAATTGTGCTCCAGTATTTCCAATATTAAATACTTTTGCACCATTAGTATACACAGAAAAACATAATATAAATTGAATAAAAACTGTTTAAAAAATATACCAGTTTAGATTTGTGTAAAAATATAAATTAAAAGCAAAATAAAAATTTTACCATACATGACTCTTGGGGTTCAGAATATTTCTCTTGTATTGAAAGTGGTTCATTATCATTGGTAACATTATCATCTTTACCTATAGCAATTGCAGATGCACTTTCAGTTCCATATTTTGTGAAATTTGTATTTGAAGAAATATTGCCTTCAATATCTGAGTTTCCATTTTCAGAATCAGCTTTAATGTCATTTAGATATGTTTTTAAGATATCATATAAAGTTCCCAAGGAAATAAAAAAAGCAAAGATCACTAGTATACACCTATTATAATATATAAATCTTATATTAAAACATTATTAAATAAATTTTAATTTCTCTTTTATAAACAATATACTTACAAATACACAATATGGCTTGGTTCCCAATGCCTTTCATTACTCTGGCAGGTTATTTCAGTAACATTGGCATAATTATTTATTTTTTTGACAACTGGGATATAATCTTTAACATAAAAACAAAGTATTAGTGATTAAGTAATATTATATTGTAATCTGTTCATATTATCTAATCAAAATTATTTCTACTATTGAAATTTTAATCTTATTATCAAGGATGAATACCAAACAGATAAATAATGTTAATTATATACAAAGATTTAAAATTTAAATTAGACCTAATGTTAATCTTAGATATAAGATTCTAAATTTAAAAATCTTAAATACTAATTCTAACAATAGTTTATTTTATAGTAGCATTATTATTATTTTATGTAAAAATATTAATTAATTTAATATAAGTTAGAAAATTAGTCATGATTAATTTTTCTTATCACTGAATATGCATAGATGAGGTACTGTAGGCCTGCATATATGAGATGATAAATCATATGTTTGATCAGAAATGTTTGTTTTATTAAAAATATTGGCTACGTGAAGCAGGCAATTGTTTTATTTACTTATATATATATAAGGTATCTCATACATATATATATATGTATGAGATACCTTGAATGCAAAATAAAATAATTTTTAAAGAACTACTTAGTTTTTTAAAAACTGCTTAATTTACTAATAAAAAAAAACAAATAATATCATTCCTATTAATTTATTCTGTTATTCATGTATTTTTACATATACAGTATTTTTTTAATTCTTCAAATCTATCTTTAGTATACCTCAAGGTTTTTCCATTAGAAATAGATCATGGGATTAAATATTTAAAGATGTTAGAAAATCTATCTCAATACATATATTTTTTTTTCCTTTGACATTTTTTAACTTAATGATAAATAAAAATGCATTTACTTTATTTATATCATAAAATATATTTAGAAAATATTTGTTTCTGTACTAAAATTAAAATTTTTAAACTAAAACTGTTTAAAGACTGGTAAAAATAAAAAAAACTTACTATTTAAAACTATAAAATACATCCATTAAATATATGAAATACATTCAAATGTTACATATTGTGATAAATATAGAAACCTTTCTAAGAAATATTTTATCTAAGAGATAAAGTGTTTCTTGGAAATCATCAGATTGATATTATTATCTAAAGTAAGTCAAAACAGTACTTTCAAAATATATAATAATTTTTTTATAAATAACTTACTTAAGAATTTTGCCATTTCTTTGGTTTCATTCAATAATGTTTTACTAGTACAAGAATCAGGAACACAGACTCCCATATATAAAGGTTGAGTCATCTAAAATATACCATTTAATTAATTTTGATTTGTGGTATTTTGAAGATAAGATTTTAAGCAATGAGAAATTGAGAAAAAATTTTATTGATGGAGATGTGGACTGATGTGGATTACTGAAAGAGTAACAAAAATTTCAATAATTTGTAATATATCAGCTTTCTTTTTTGAGTTCATGGTGAGAAAATGGACTCCTTTGACTTCTCTCCTGAATGCATCAGTATTTTAAGATATCAGAATAGAATAGATACAGTATGTAAGAAAATTAGAACAATGAACAAAATTTTAATAAAAATCATTCCCACAAGAATATAGCTTTTAAAATATATTGAGAATATATCTTGAAAATGATTTATTATAACAAACAAAATATATCATTGAGAGAGAATAATTTTTAAAAATTAATTAATATAAAATAAAAATAAAATTTGTTAGTTAAAAGACTATGTGATAAGGATCATCATAAGGCTATGAAAGATTCAAATTTAAACATGATCTGGATTCTTGTTATATCCATATAATAAACGACTACCTTGTTAAACATTTATATATATATATATATATATAAAAATGGACATGTGTGTCCCTATATTTCACTTTTCAGCCAAAACTACACATCACACATGAATGGTGTTTGTATGTGGTAGTAGCCCCAAGTCTCCATTCGTGCACTATGGTGGTTGCGTCTCGATAGCTATAAGGGTGCGGGAGATATGGGCTTGAAAGTGGTTGAAAGTGGAAGATTTTCTATTTCGATTTTAAAAATTTTCGAATT